GATGCTTATTTCTCCCTTCTTACTTCTGTATGTTCATATGTTTGTTGTCACTGTAGGAGAGAAGAGAGAGGATGTTATGAACAGGCTCTCAGTCTCCAAGTGTGGGTAACGTCTCAAATTTCAGCCCAGTGGGTTCAGGTTTATTAACTAACGGTTTAAATGGACCGGACAACTCGTTGGGCTTTATATTCTCTGTATGGGATTTATCTATTTACAAATTATTAAAAATTGTATAGCCGTGCGGCTATCCTCGGTTTTATTAATGTTTCTTTAAAAAATAGTATATCCGGTCGGCTATACTCGGTTTTTCCCTAATTATATTTCTACAATTGTATAGCCGGACGGCTATCCTCGTGTTTCCCTAATTGTTTTTCTAAAGCGTATAGCCGACCGGCTTTACTCTTTTTACAGGTGGCGCCTATGACTTAGCGGGTTCTTTTTTAATGTATAAATAGTATAGCCGGTCGTACTCTGTTGTGTTCTAATTTTTTTTTAAAATAGAGTATCGCCGCATGGCTATACCCGGTTTTTTATTTAGTACAGCCGTTTGGCTATAAAGGTTATCCCTAATTTTTTTAAAAATTTTATAGCCGCACGGCTGTACTACTCGAGGCGCTAGCGTGTGCTTTAAGTATATAGTATAGCCGCGCGGCTATACGTTTTTTTTTTTCTCCCTATTTTTTCTTTATTTTTTTCTCGGATTTTCTTTTTTCGATAAGAGTAATTTAGAGCATTATCCATTACTGTTAGGCCATTACCCGAGTATGTATTGTACCCTTTTGATTTTTTACTTTTTCATAGTTATTACTCGTATAACCAATTTAGCACTTTCACATTTAATAATATATTATACACGTACATATGTATTTTTCAATAATACATCTGTGTTTTGCAGACGTCTTAAAGACTCAGTTGTAGGAATAAATAATTATTCTTAACTACTTGAACTACAAACCCGTTTTTGTTTTTTTACAAAGTTTTTTTCTCTCTTTTTTTTTAATCTTTGTTTACTTTTTTTTTTAATCAATAATAAATTTTTTATTTGTTCTTGTTCATTTTCATTTTAAAAATTTGTAGACGACCCCATTTAGGGCCAATTAATTTTCTCCAATGCCACTTTTGTATTCCTATAGAGTTTGGGAGATGGGCTTTGTCCTTGAGGAAATAGGAAAATAGCGTGCCTATAAAAACAGGGGATGAGCACCCCTTTGGCTTCAATAAGCAAGCAAGCAAGCACGCGCATTAGACAGTCTCTCGTAATTAATTCGGAAGGTTAAGAACATGAGAACGATGAGGTCCCAAGAACTCACTGCTTTCCATGATTCTGATTATGAACATGTTCGCGCAATCGACAGTGATGACCAGGCATCCAGCAACGCTCCTGCATCCGTAGAATTACTGATGGAGGAAGCATGGACGACCAAGTGGTTGTGGGATGAGCATGAGTGCCAGCTGTGCACTATTTGCTTGGAAGGCTTGAGTTATGCTGCTAATTCTGAAGAAGCCAAAAGTAAGGAGATGCCTTGTAAGCAAAAGTTTCACTCGTCTTGTATTCGAACCTGGCTCGCCCGGCGTGGTTCTTGCCCTCTCTGCAGGTCCTCTGTTAAGCCTGTCCTGCCCATGAACATGCCTCTTCTTCAACTTGGAGAGGAAGAAGATGAGGAGGTCACCGTGTGGATTAACATTGTCAAAAAGATGGATAAATTTTGGTTTGGGAAGATCAGTCTATGAAGAATATTTTTCTTAAGCTTCGATTTAAATATTTTTTTTCCAAGAGCTTCGATTTAATTGTTTGTTCATACGTTGATCTAATTTCCAAATGAAGTTAATAAATTTTGGCACTAAAGATCTTGATATTGCTTTTGTTTTTCTAATTTTTTTGGGGTTAAATTTGATATGGCTTATTGGGAGGCTATTACTTGATGTACAAGGATGATCATACTCATGATTGTACCTTTGTTTTGGCATGTTACCAGAGAAAAAGGAGGAATTAGGAGGAAAATTTATTCTGAAGCAAGTCGATTTTGGGAAAGAAAGAAGTTAAAAAAAAAAGAACAGGAATGCTATCACCAGAACTAAAAATATAAAATAAATAAATAAATTGAGCTTAACAACAATTTTCCTAAGCGATGTTGCTTCTATTGATTGACCTAATTCTATGTTTACAATACATATAAAATAGTATAACCCAAAGGCAGAGATATCTCAGAGCAAAGTTTGATCTGCTCGTCAATAAAGTAACTTTGCCATCACCAGTAATTCCCACAAGAACAACTCCCATCCTTGAAATGGTGGAATCTGCTGGCGTCCCTCACTACAATTTCCCGTCCTGTAACCCTAGCAATTAACTTAACTGCAGAATGGCAGTCTCCACAAATGCGATGGCTCTGCACAATTTGCAGCGGCGTCCCATCCGCAGTACTTATTAGTCCATAAGCTATGGCCAGTTTCTCACTGTGGTAAAAGGATCTCCGCTCATGTTCATCAACATCAGGAAGTAGATGCTTCTCCTCAGGGATGTAACCGTGTTTTGTAATCCTGATCATCAAGTCATCCATTTTCTGGTAAATCTCTCTTGTTTCAGAATGGCTTTTATCTCCCGAATGGAAAATATGTAAATGTTTCTTAACTTCAATCCAACTGCATGCGGGTAGCATTCTTAAACCCTTTCTTCTTAAAGTCTGAACAACACTAGCAGCCTCCTTCAACTTCCCAGAACTGCTGTATATATTTAAGAGCACAACATAATTACTTAGCTTCTCAGGTTCCATCCCATAAAGTTTTTCTGCTGCAAATTTGCCGAGCTCTAAATTCTCATGGACTCGACAAGCTGTTAGGAGGGCAGCCCACATATTTGCCGTAGGATTAAAGGGAGCACTTCTTATTAGTGCAGAGGCTTCATCTAAAAGCCCCTCTCGACCTAGCAATTCAATCATACAAGCATAATGCATAGCACGAGGCTTAATCTTGTGATCCCTACTCATTGATTCAAAAATCTCCCATCCGTGTTCTGATAAACCTGAATGACTGCAGGCAGACAATACTGCAAGAAAGGTAACATGGTTCGGTACCATTCCTTCCTGAAGCATCTTCTCGAACATCTCAACAGCCTCATCACCCCGACCATGATTACCATATCCAGCAATCAAGGCATTCCAAGATATTACATTCTTGAGGGGCATCTGGTCAAAAACATGACGGGCATCTTCTATCCTTCCCCATTTGCAATAGAAGTCCACAAGTGATGTGTTTGCCACTATATCTAATCCAAAGCCATGACGAACTAGACCTGCATGAGCTTGCTTAGCATGTTCCAATGATGCCAACCTAGCACAGATTCTTATGATCATGGAAAATGTAAAATGGTCCATCCGAACACCAGAATCACGCATGTCATAGTACATACTCAGAGCTTCCTCACTGTAACCATGGAGTGCATAACCTGCTATGATGGAATTCCATCCTACTGTTGTCTTCCGCGGCATCTCATCAAAAACACACTGAGCATCTTCAATATTCCCACACTTGCTGTACATATCGATCAGCGCACAAGATACAAAAATATCAGCACCTAACCCCATCTTCAAACAACAGGAATGAAACTGTCTTCCAGCAAAAATGAGTCCCAAGCCAGCAGATGCCCGAATCATAGTGGCAAATGTGCGTGACCCACCATCAGAAAACTCTTGCCACATAACTAGAAACAACTGGAAGGCGTCCATGAAATCCCCAGAGTCCACAAGGCCCCCAATTATCGTGTTCCAAGAAACCAAGTTCCTCTCAGGCATTTCCTCGAATAGCCTGCGCGCATCGATCATCATGCCGCATTTCACATGCATAAGCAATACTCTGTTCCTCATATACTGATCCGGTTCAAACCCATTACTAATCATGTAATTAGTAACCCTCTTCACTCCTCTAATAGATTTCAAACTAATGCAAGCACTCACCAACGCATCGTACGTACTACTAGCCAACTCATAACCACCTTCAAACTCCAAAATTTCAAACAACTCAAATGCTTCTCTGTACCTTTTGTACAAAACCGACTTCTCTATCTGACTACAAAGTCCAGAATTGCGTTTTACGACATGGGTATCTTCCAAAGACGTTGCTTTTGGTTCATCAACCTCAATTTTAGAAGGTATGGGCTTTGGGCGTGGCTTCAGCTCTTGTTCCACAGAGGAACACCTAATATGAGGCAATCGGTTCCTCCATTTTCTAATATTAAGCGGAAAGCAGTACCCAGAAAACAAAGATAAAGATCTATGCCTGAAAAACTTAGGATCTGAGAAAGATAAACGGAAGCTAGAGGCACTCTGAATCTGATCCAGCGCTAAGTTTTGGTACCTTAACAGCGGGATCTCCATGATTGAAAGATGGAACTAAATCAGTAAACAAGAAATGGAGGTGATGAGCAAAGATGGTACCTTGAGAAAGAATTATAGGGCCTCGTTCAAGGTCCGAGAGCGAGACGACGAGAAGTGAGTGAAACGACGATGTTGTGGTTGAGAAGAGAGAACTGGTTTTGTTCATGGTGGAAAGGAAATTGTTGGGTCCCAAGGGGTAGATGGTTTAGGAGAGGGGATCAGCATTGGGATTTCCGCCCGAGGAGTCGATGCGGGTAGCTCCAAGGTTGTTCAACTTCCAACTTCCAGCTTCAAATCTTATGGAGACTTTCAATGCCCGGACGGTGCGTTTTGCATCCAAACAATTTTTTCTACTTTTATGAAGCATCCAACCAATTTTATTTTTTGTTTGTATAGTTGATAATTGAACAAACATTTCGTATAAAATCTTTCTTTTTGTTTTCGCTTGTTCTTATTTTGTGACCAAAATGGCAAACACATTGCACTTTAGGAGGTGGGATTTTTGGAAATATGGATGTGAATTATGGGTTATAAATTTAAACCTTATAATATGAGCGGACGGTAAAATTGATATTCAATGATATTCAATGGATATAATATTAATAAATACATATATGTGTTATCATACAAGTGTTATCATAAATATATGCGTTATAATATAGTGATATGATCGCCACATCAAAGAATTTTTTCACCCGCTCTTCTTGGAAGACAACAAAAGTAAACCGAAACTAAAGAAAAAGCCAATATGCTGCTAAGGATGCCTCTGATCTTGAGGAAGTGCATCCAGAATCCTGCAAAACTTCCTCAAGATCAGATATTGACAACCTTTACGTGTCAAACAATGTAAACTGAAATGCGCACGCAGAGTCCAACAGGTACCGCCGCCCACACATGTATGCAGGTGAATATGGCAGCACTGCAGAATGTTAGGTCTCAATCTTTCTTTGAACACCGGCGGAGATGCCGAAGAATTAAGTAACCCCAATGGCATAATGATCTTGATAATACATTGCAATTGAAAATGAATTAAATAGTTCATGGCATTGAAAAAGCAAGGGCTTAGAAGTATTTACAATGTGGCCTTACTGTCCTCAGACACTCCACTGGGAGATCTGGAAAAAGATATACCATGTGAAAGTAATCTTCACAGATGTCCTAAGCTTGTCATCTGATCAGTAGCATGCATGCCTTCTCATGTGTATACACTAGCTATAAGACTGATTTCTTTATAATAAAGTTAAAGCTTACTCTAAAGCAGAATAGATTACTCGGATAAAACAAGCCAAGTAAACTATGCAGTTTGGTGCAAAGATGAGTAGACAAAACATATCATACCACACATGCAGCCCCAATCAAATGTTAGTTCCTTTGGGAAACCACATTTGAGTTTACCTCATGGATCAAACTGGAACAGCTGCTTTTTATGCCTAAACCAGGTGTCCAGGTTACTCTCATCTGGCAAAATATGAATGAAAAAGTTTCCTGCTTTTATAAGTTTACAACCAAGCAAGTTCTAAGTTTCAACAATAACTGAAGATTACACAGACCATTTGCTGTCATTAGTGAGATTTTAATCACGACCCCTAACCAATCGCTAATCGAAGAACGATATACTGAACTTGGACAAACACATTCCTCCGAATTTTTCGTTTTCAGGGTCAGGACATAGCAATCGGATTGTGAATAGTGTGGAGAAACCATTGAGGACAAACTTACCTCATAGAAGAATCATATCCTATAAAGGGAAAGAAAGAAAAAGAACGGAATAACTGCAGCAATGGAGAACCAAATGAAAATTTCGGATTCAACAAAAGAAAGTTCTTAAAAAAACATATAACCAACGGAAAGGAAATTAAATAAGGGATTGTTATATATTCCCCACTATAATCAAGGGTATATAATCCTTACAACTTATTCCATGAGCTAGGCTTATTTAAAGACAACAATGTTCCGAGAAGACAGCCAATAGAAAGGCACTCTTCTCTGCATTATGACTACTCCTGTACTCATAATTTTTCCTCCCTATGGTTTGATAACCACATTTATGCTACTTCTTGATCTTTTTAAGCTTCTTCGGTCCCGGAACTTCCAATCTACCAACAGAACACCCACACCTTGCCCGAAAGACAAGCACTGCTCTGCCATTAGGAGGGGCCATCTTCTTAAGTTCGGCTTCCAATTCGCGGTGGTGATCGCGAGGCAATTCGAATAGGCCCTTCTTAACTCCATCTTTAAACATTGAAGCTGAATTCTTCACGCACTCCTCTGTCTCCAACTGAATATCGAATTCAGCGGCCTTTCGAAGGCCCTTGCAATTGGGATTGCCACATTTCCTACTGGTACAGGCCAACAGAGCCCAAGCAGCCAATGCTGCACAACAAATGCTAAGTCCCATACATCCATAAACCAAAGGAGCATGAGAAATCTCCTCCCTTAGTACATACATAATAATTCCAACGATTTCAATGGTCTTAACAGATATAATCTTCACATACGGGAATAGCAAATACCCGAAAGCACCAACCACAGCAATAAACAACACAACATCAATTGCAGCCGATCGAGATCGATGGCAAGCCGGTATCTTTGAGCAATTTGGAGAATTGGGTATCTTTCTGCTCCTGTGTACATGATTGGTTTGCTTCGATTTGGCACCTGGGTCGGTTAAACTCATAGAATCCGCCATGGGAGTAGGTTGGTCAACGGAGTTGCAGACCGATATTGAGCTATGGAAATATACCATTTCAAATTGAACCCGGAATTTTGAATACCAATCCAATCAGCAAAATCAGATCAAACCGACCAATCTAGACTGCAAAATCAGATCGGCCCACCTCGCAAAAAATCAAAACGAATAAGCAGAAAATTCGATTACACCTGAAGATCGGAAAACTCGTCGGTGCATCCAAATCAAAACCAAAAATCTTCCTATTTTGACATCTCAAATTCAAGCATCCGATTCAATCAAAAAGCTGAGAACTTGAGAGATCAATATAGGTAGATAGAAAACGGATTAAGAGAATCAGGCAGTGTGAATTGGGTTGAGGCAAGGCCAGCTTGAAAGGTTGTAAAAGCAGAGGAAGCAGAGCGGACAAGGAAGAGTCATTTACTGGTATTAATATTATCACATTTTTCTTCCGCTATGAACTAGTAAAACTATGAGGAAGCGCTCTCTCTCTCTCTCTCTCTTCTCCTTCCTTTGTAATTGTTCATGTAGGCAAGTGAGATGGTTGGTTCGTTTATACACGCTACGGAAATGGAAATCCCAAGCGACACGTTGTGTAAGGATTACGTGGGCTACTTCTCAGATGGGCTTGAAATTTTGCCCGTGGAAATAAAAGGAAATAAAAAACTACCACAATGATGTGTGCATGATTTTGTGGGGCAGTTCAATGGGCTTGGCCCACTGTTCCTTATTTTCCTTTTTTTTTTTTTCCTTTTTTTGAATTTTACCTCTTGGTTACTTTGATCAAGGGAGAGACCAAGTCACCCCAATCACGAATTAATGGAAAATAAAACAAGTTTTGGTGACTAATTTGTCCTCTTATCCTCGCACTTATTCTTTCGAGATACGTGAGAAACTTATTATCTAATAACATAACATGTTAAATTGTTAGATAATATAATATTATTATTTTTCTTAATCTTGATACATGCATGTTTTTGCATCAAATTAATTATGTTTTTAACTTTAAGTTGGAAATTTTATACATGCCTAAATGAGATGGAAGAAAGGCCCTTTCGGGAGCTTGTTTCGTGACAGGTGTCTAAATTAATAAGTTAAATTCTCGTATTTATAACTTCATCAAATTACAGTTAGGATATTAGTCTCAACTAATTAAAATTATCAAATTCAGGTCGAGCCACTAAACGGGCCCTTAGGTTCATTTGATTAATATCTTAAACCAACAGTAGTGATTTGATTGTCTACTCAAGGAAGGAGACGTTGTAGAGGACCTTCTTTCTAGGGTAATATCTCAAACAAGTGAAAACAAAAAGGAAACAATAACGAAATGAGGAATTTTGACTTGCCATCACTACCAAATGGAAACGTTTACGCGTTCGGCTTGTATATTGGTGGAAGTGGAAATTGCCAAAAACATTTGGTTGCAAAAGCACCAAGGAAGGTAGTGGCATATTTGTCAACCAAATGGATCCATGAGCCGTGTTGGCCTTAAGATTTAGTGCTTCACCTTGACGAAAAGTGATGTTACCAGTCAACCCTAATGCTCAAAGAAAAAGGAAAAATTCAAACGCCGTGATAATTATGTGAAAAAAAAAACCCAGGAATTTTCAAACCTCATTATTTTTATACAAATTTATAAATAAACCCAATTCTAGACATGTATTTATAAAAAAACTCGAGTACTATTTAAACATAGAAACACACCCAAAATCAACCCCAAAGTCAACTTTTTGGGTGTGTTTATAAATGGGTTTTGAGTGTGTGTAATGATGGGTTTTGGGTGTGTTTATAAAGTGTTTTGGGTGTTGGGTTTTTTTATAATTTCAACCTCCATTTTGGGTGTTTTAGTGAAACTCCCTTATTTTTACCCGAACTGGTAAACCGTAAATGTGGCAGAATGTCAGAGATAGCATAAACCAGGTGGAGATGAGGTAATTTGTCTCTATTTCAGGGTCATAGTTATCCAAGCACAGCCCAAATGCTTTATTTGGCGTGGCCCAATTATGGGCAAAACTACAAAATAAGCCCAATAAACACCTCAAGTTAATGTCGACAAGAAAACAATAAATATCTGTTGAATGGCTGGATTTAACTTTTCTCCTTGTCCTTTCTCAATGTTCTCATCCTCAACTTATCTTATTCGTTCTCCTTTTTCCTTACAAAAAAGGTTATCAATAACAAACATAAGTTAAGCGTGTTGGCCAGGACAGTAGGCACTTCCCTTTACATCCATATTGACACTATATTAATTTACCATAATTTGCTAGAAATCCAAATTTTCAATTTACACCTTATGCCTTCCTTATATTTAGTGGACTACATAATTATGTGTACCAATGACAACATTTGGTTCAGTATTATATTTTTTTTAGTGCAAGTGATAGTCTAAATTAAGAGGGAGGGAGATTTCTCACACACAGAAATAAAACTATGACGTTATGAGAATTTGAACTTGAGACCTCTGATATGCAAATCAATATCATTTTTGAGTACAAACGATAATACATATTTTTTAATATCGTAAGAGATTACATAATTATGTGTACCAACCACAACACTTCAATGCATTCAGCATAAAGACGCACACACACACACAAAAGACGAATAAATAAATAAATCTTAAATATTTTAGGCCAAGTTAAAAATTAAGCTTATATATGGCAGT